AATTAGATTAATACAAAACATTATGGGTTAACGGGGCTCGGTCCAACGGCCAATGAGCGAGAATAAGTTTAGCACGGCTGATATGCATCAGGCACCTGTTGTCCGAAGGTCGGATAACACTATCCGCTCAATAAATCTCTTTCCGGTGGATAATGCCATAATTTTTGCGATCACTTATCCGTTTGATAGCGATTAATCCTTTGGATAGTGTTATCCAACCTTTATACAACCGGGCCCAGGATGATAACAATGCTATTGGGCGAGGGGCAATCGCCCAATGGAGTCTCCATTGAGGTGGCTGATAACACTTAAGTAAGAAGTTTGAATAAGCCATGCACTTATGATTTGACAGTGTAAAAAAACCTGGGTTTTCTTTAATCCAAAATAATTATCATTTGATTTTGCTCTGATTTTTGTGGTAGATTTAAAATTGTGTACAAGGTCAGAAGTAGTTCAAAAGAGCTAAATTCATTCATCTAAATATTAACAAAAAACTTTAATTCAACTGATAAGGTTTTCTTTGATCTTACTAAATTATTTACAGATTTGTGAAGCTGTAGTTATTGATTTTGCTTATGGATTCTGTTGACGTCTCGAAGCACTTAAATCAACTCCTGTAAATATTACCGCATCTTTATGAATTGCCTTTATTAATTTTTCTCTTCTTATTTAACACCTGATGAGCGAAACCTTCGTCTGCTTCTAGGAGCACCATAAATAGATACTGAGTGGCTGATTTTTAAACTCGTGTATAAAAGTTAAGAATAATAAAAAAAAAGAAAAAAAAATTCTCTCACCAGACTAAATATAAAACTACGTTGTAATTTGAACCAAATTTCCACCGCTCTAAGATTTTTCTCCGTAGGGTGAAAACTTCAATAAAAATCAACCGATAAAAGCTACGTGATCCAAGAGTCGCTGCTTGCATACCAAATGAAAGCCAATTTAGATGTAAACATAATACTGAAGATTTACCTCCGGATGAAACCGCATAAATGCAATTAATCTGGAAAATGTGATGAGCATTTAGCATTTATTTATCAGCATTGTGGAAACAAAAAGTAAATAATCGGCTAATTGTGAATAATTGCTGGCTGAATATGTCGAGTTTCCAAGGACGAATACACGGAATAAATACAACAATACAGTCGCGTAATGATTGAGTGAAAACAAATGAAAATCAGCCGCCATTAGGTATTCATCCAACCCGGTAACGATGAGAAATGATTCTTGAACGCCACGATTTTCGAATTCTGTGTAGAAAGAACCAAGACATATAAAACGATTGCACCTTTCCTCTACAACAAAGCTAATAATCTTAAATATACTGGTTACAGGGAAAGCTTGATAGCTGCCGCTTACGGCAAAATGATTCCTTTCTATACAATAGCTCCAGAAGCCTTTTTGCTTCAACTAATTTTGATTTGGTAAAGATTTTGCTTTTTTTAATCATTATTTCTTTAAAAATTTTCATAGCACATGAGGTAATAAAAATACAATGTAGTCCTCTATTATTCATTTGGATTAGAATGGTCGTAATTTTTTTTTTCACCATTCCACATCTAAGAGTTTCTAACTGACAGTGTAAAAAGTTTATTGTCGCATAAATCGTCTGATAAATTCTGCAAAACTAACATAAAACGCTTAGATGAATATAAAGCCAATTTCGACTACGTTTAAATTATGGTATATGCCATTCTTTTCATTATCAAATATGCATTAAACCCCTTATATTACCCATATTTTTTTTTCATTATGATAGGGTGATGTTTCCGTTTAGTACTCAGCCAATACTGAACTTTCAGGTCAGTTGGAATTGATGGACTGCTCTATCTTGGTGATTTTGGGAGATAAAATTATTTACCTCAAGGGGAAGGTTTAATTAAAAATTAAAATAGCTGTTTAAACTAACTTATTAAAAAAAAAAAATGGAACAAATTTGACCCAGTTTGGCCTCCTTCAGCATGAAAGGAGGTGGGCGTTTAAAGAACTGACAAGTCATATAACTACCAGTATTAATACCAATTTAAAACGTGCTTTCTAATACACCTTAATATTGGTTTTCTTTCATCGCTTTATCATGCTTATATCTCCTATTCAACCTAATTATTTTTCTTACACCAGGAAAAATGCGTTAATTATAACAGGTCCAAACGGAAACAAATACTCTACTGATAAATATGGAAAGGTTAACAAAATATGTTTCTGTGATTGCAGTTTGAGACCACAGTCTCTTAAGCATACCAAATTATTTACCTCAAGAATTGACCATGAAGGGAATCGATATTGACTGTGACGAAAAACATGTCAGGGTGACAGGTAGCACTGAACAATAAATTCGGCCGTGGCCCAATATTCAGATCAAATCGTTTGTTTGCTTAAAATTCCACCTGTTCTTTTCCACTTGAGCAATGCCTCAACGACTCGAGTGCAACACTGCCGTGTTATTAAAAAGAATGGTTTACTTTTGTCATGTTTTGCCGCGGTTGTGTTTCCTTTCTTTTGCAGTTATTTGGAATGTTCGGAATACAGCTCAAGGTAAGTCAGTTTTAGTGACAGACGATATGAAAGAAGAGAAAAATGACCAATACTGGGAAATGTATTTGCTTTCTATTTCGTGCTTTGAAAGACATTTTGAATACGTTTTAGTTCTCTGTCAACCGAGTCTAAGCCAGGAGCAGGAAAAAATTAGCTTTTTTTGTTCAACTTAACATTCATTTTGCATGAATTTAGTTTATTCAAAAAAGATCCATTTGGCAATGTATCTTCTTTGCGAATGCCATTTTTTTTTCGTTCAAGAGGTGAGGAAGACCGAACGCTTCTAAAGTTAAAGAAGTTTAAAATTATTCAGTAGTTAGATCCACTTCGGGCAGTGGGTATCGCAATTGATACTGTTCACGGATTTGAAATTGAAATAAACTGAATACTTGGCCGGGAAGCAAAGCTTCAAGAGAAAAGGTGAAATTTGGAGGGCAATCTCTGAGCCGAAGAAAGTAACAGCCGACCTACTGGAAAGGAAAAAAGGGGTTTATTTATTTAATAAAATTAATCCTAATATCGCGCAAAAACCGCTAGTTAAAAAGCCAGTGTTGCTTATTGGCGACCAGCTCTTTAATAACGTTATCATTAGACTTTACAGATCAAATTGGTTTTTTTTTTCCATATAAAATACTAGAAATGTAATGATATTTTTTCCTCCTAGCTTTGTTTCGACGCAAATAATCGTAGGGCAAATGTCGACCTACGCGGGGTCATTCGTGACGTAAGGTGGCCAACGAAATCACGAGGAAATTAATGGTGATTAAAAATGTGTCAAAATCGTGAAATATTGGAAAAAAAAAAGAAAAAAAAATTCTCCAAGAGCCTCGAAACTTAAAAATCTAAAAATGATTTTGACAGTCTTAGTTAGAATAGCATCTAGACTGTTTTAGTTCTGGCAATCTAAATATTGCCTGCTGTGAGCTTCTTCGCTCTTTCTTCTTCCTCTTTGATACTCAGAACACTGGATTCCGTGTCGAGTGGTCTGGGTTCTTGTCTTGTGTTCATTGGTAGGGCGCGTTACTTTCACAGTGTGTCTCTCCCCCTGAGAGTATAAATGGTTACTGGCAAATTGCCAGGGAAGATTGATGAGATTCTGGGGGTTACCTTGAGATGAACTAGCGTCTCATCCAGGGGAGGGAAAGGCTGTCTGGGCCACTAGGCTCAGAAAAAGACTATTTGTTTTTTTCACCTTACTTTTTCGAAGTCCCTTTGCGAAAGTATAATCTGCCTCTTAAGATTACATCACTGGGTGTGTATTATTTGGACTAAGGGGTCCTTTTTTGTTTTTTTCTTTGAAACAGGAAAATATTGTTATTCTTATGAATCGCTTAACATCGCAGAGCTAAAGCGAGGTAACTGCCAGCAAATCAAGAACGCCACTTCTCAACATTGGTTAAAAGCTGATTGTAAAATAAGAAGTTCTGGGGGATACCGGAAACGTGACTTTGCTCTGTGTTTACAGTTGTGGTGTGATTACTTTTCAATATGCCTTCATCAAACAACCGAATGGAAAAACTATTGCTCCTTAAAGTTTTATAGACTCCGTTCATCTTTCTTCGAT